ATAAATGGTGCACCTCACACTCCCAACACACACAAAATCCCACTAGGATAAAAAGCAAGAAAATGCCAATGATTAATCACAGTGGTTTATATTGTTATACAAGACAGCATACGAATTGCCTATGTGGTCAAATACCTCAGAAATACAGGCAAGTATAAATAAAATCCTCTCTTTATGGATATAAATAACTGGAAGGAGAAAATCATTTCCTACAAGTATGATATGTAAACAGACTTCAAGATACTCTACTCTTCCTTCTTGTCTCCAAACATTCAGTTCCTAGGTCTCTTGCAAACAATGCAACTCCCCGAGCACTCCCCCATAAGTAAATTACTATAATTAATTAACAAATACACAAGAACAAGTGGTTTTACCACTTGCCTTGTAAGGTATATAACTTGGTGTAAACACTGAAAAGCATCACAAATAGTTTAAATCAATTGTTTTGGTTGTTAAAGTGATACCAGCTAATCCAGCATCCCACATCACAAAAATGGAGGCTGTGGATTTTGCAGATCTTCTTCCTTGTCATAATAAAGGATCAAAATAGTGATCTTTGTGCTCTAAAATAAAAAGCTGAAGCAGAAAAACAACATATGCAGATTTAGCAAAATACAAACCTTTTAAGTTTAAAGCACTGCTCAAATGGGAGAAAATTTTTCCATGTAAAGGACTGTGAAAGCCCATATATCAATTCCAATTCAAAAGACATTACTTATTTTAATATTCTTCTCAATTGATGTAAAATGACATCTACACAACAAAAAATACTTGAAGCAGAGGTATAGACGGGAAGAGCTGTAATGATTTGTACAAACTGTGTCGTATCTAAAAGTGCTGCAAAATTTAATAGGTGTTCAATCTATTTGAGTAACAATAACCTAGTTACCTCACTAAAATTAATGACTAGCACTAAACTTTTCAGTGAACAGAGTTGATTAAGTTTGCTGCTCTACAGCTTAAAAAAAAAAAAAAAGGCTATCTCTGAATAGACAGCAAGGTATACTTAACCACATTTTACGCATATTAAAAAAAAAAAAAATCCCTACAGGCCACACTTGAATTTCTGATCTTCTGGAATACAATTTCAAAACTTGGATGCATATGTCTTTTTTTTTTTAAACTTTTATTTTTGAGACAGAGAGAGACAGAGCATGAACGGGGGAGGGTCAGAGAGAGGGAGACAGAATCGGAAACAGGCTCCAGGCTCTGAGCTGTCAGCACAGAGCCCGACGCAGGGCTTGAACTCACGAACCGCGAGATCATGACCTGAGCCGAAGTCAGACGCTTAACCGACTGAGCCACCCAGGCGCCCGGGATGCATATGTCTTTAACTCTTCACTAGAAAGAGTTGTAGGCACCTTGTTTCTTTTAAGATAACCTAACACCCAAATTACTCTGCACATCTTATGTTGCTTAGGACAAGATCTCAAATTCAGAAACGAAAGCATGATGATAGAGACATAAATAAACATGTGTGATCTAGAATGACAACAGGCTAATGATAAAATTTAAATGTCAGTGCTATTTAAACCAAAGGCTACCAGAGACTCCTACTTTACAATAACTAAGGAAATTTATAGAAGTTAAACATTACACAAAATTAAAAAGTACTTCAAATAACATTAAAATGATGTTAAGACAAGCATTTTCACTGCACAAAATTACACTGGTTCCAGTAGCATGATAATTTCTATTTCAATTATTCTTTAAAGCTCAAAATTACAATCTGAAAGGCAAACGTTTTAAAGAATTTAACTGCTGCTTCTTTTTAAGTTTATTGCTTTTAAAACTATAACAAAACGTAATGACACTGAATGTTAGTTTAAAAATCAATCTTGGGGCACCTGTGTCTCATCAGTTAAGTGCACAACTCTTGGTTTTAGTTCAGGTTATGATCTCATGGTTCTTGGGTTCAAGCCCCATGTCAGGCTCCACACTGACAGCACGAAGCCTGCTTGGGATTTCCTCTCTCTCTCAAAATAAATAAATAAACTTTGGGGTGCCTGGGTGGCTCAGTTGAGCACTGATTTTGGCTCAGGTCATGATCTCATGGTTCATAAGTCTGAGCCTCACCTAATCAGCAGCTATCAGCTATCAGCACAGAATCCGCTTGGAACCTCTATCCCGCCCCCCGCCCTCAAAAATAAACATTAAAAAAATAACAATAAATAAACTTAAAAAAATCAATCTTTACATGGCACAGTTAAACCAGCAGCTGAATTCTTTCTAAATTCTACATGTTTTTTAAAAGTTCTATTAATGTTAGGGGCGCCTGGGTGGCTCAGTTGGTCAAAATGAATAAATAAACTTAAAAAAAAATTCTATAATGTTAAAAGCTAAAGATTAATATTATATTACAGATACATATATACGTATATATACATATATATGTAATATAATATAATTATAGCTTTTTTTTTTTTTTAAGGTAAGCTCTACTGCCAATAGGGAGCTCGAACTCATAACCCTGAGATCAACACGCACATGCTCTACCAACTGAGCCTTCCAGGCACACCAACTATAATTTTAGTAAGAAAACTAGACTTACTATTTAAATTATCTTCCAAAAGAAATCAACTTATATTTCTTTCAAAAAATTAGAAAACCATAGGGACAGTTTTCAAATGTCCCCAGGTTTATAGAGTATATCCTTCCACTTACTGAGCTTGTGAACTATCAAGCTTTCAAATATAAAAAGAGCTATATTCTTTATACGTCTAAAAGATTTCTTCAAAGTATCAGAACACTAACAGTTTTATATATTCTTATGTTAGCAAATAAAAAGTAGAGACAACATAAAACAAAAGATACAACCAAAAGGTAACAGATACATCATGGTGTTTACGACGTAGGCACTAAAAGTAATGCTGAGAAAATGATTTTAAAATGCTAACGTAAATGTGGGAAAAGGTAGATTACAGAAGGGTATAAACAAGGAGCACTTTACTTTATTGGTGGAGGGGACACACTTTTTAATTTAAGAAGTCCTAAATAAACTGTGGTACATCCAGACAATGCAATATTGGTTCTGCACACACAAAAAATGGGCTATCAAAAACTGTGAAAAGACATGGAGGAACCATAAATGTATATTACTAAGTGAAAGAAGCCAATCTGAAAAGATATGATTCCAACTATAGGACATTCTGGAAAAGGCAAAAAAACTATGGAGGCAGTAAAAAGATTAGTAGTTGCCAGGTATTAGGAGGGAGGGTTGAAAAAGCAAAGAACAGAGTATTTTAGTGAAACTACTTCTGTGTGACACTATAATGATAAATACATGTCATTATGTATTTTTCTAAACCCAACAATTGTAGAACACCAAGAATGAACCCTAATGTAAACTAAAGACTTGAGGGGACAATGATGTGTCCACACAGGTCATCTGGTGTAACAAATGTGCTGCTCTGGTGTGGGATGTTGATAGTGGGGGAGGCTGTGCATATGGAAGCAGGAGATACACCAGAACTCTCTGCACCTTCTTCTCAATTTTGTGGTGAACCTAAAAACTGCTCTAAAAATACTCTATTTAAAAGGAAAAGAAAAGGGGCTCCTGGGTGGCTCGGCTGAGTGTCCAACGTCAGCTCAGGTCATGATCTCGCAGTTTGTGGGTTCAAGCCCAGCATTGGGGCTGTTGCTGTCTGTGCAAAGCCCCCTTGGAATCCTCAGGCTACCCCTCTCTCTGCCCCTCTCATGTATGCACTCTCTCAAAAGTAAATCAACAATTTTTTTTTAAAAAAAGGATGGGGCGCCTGGGTGGCGCAGTCGGTTAAGCATCCGACTTCAGCCAGGTCACGATCTCGCGGTCCGTGAGTTCGAGCCCCGCGTCGGGCTCTGGGCTGATGGCTCAGAGCCTGGAGCCTGTTTCCAATTCTGTGTCTCCCTCTCTCTCTGCCCCTCCCCCGTTCATGCTCTG